CCCTCAATGGCTCTAGCCCAACAACATTCTTGCATGTATACATATCTCAGAACAATTCCATTATCTGGATATTCAAAAATTCTCGAGCTTAAGTCGAACAACAAAGTAATAATGATAATCAATTTTCATTTTTACCTATCAAAGGATTGTCTGTACCGTTGACTGGAATGTACTGTGTGGTAGGCCGCTCTATCGGCGTTTTTTCTGGACCAGAGGGGGTCTCCTCACTTGCTTTGCTTGGCTTCATACTAATACCCTCGCTGGAAAAATCTTCGGGTTTACTTGTAGAAATAACATGGTCCGCTCGAGCTAAAGAACTTGTTGGAACTACAGGTGCTGTATTTTTGGTTCCTAAGACGTAACTTGCTGTTCCGGTAGACGTGATAGCATCCCTTGGAGTTTTAATTTGGCCAATGGGAGATCGTATGCCGTTGCTGTCCTCGGCCGTAGCAAAAGAGCGTCTAGCTTGAATAAGAGTTTGTTTCGGAAAACTTGATGAACTAGTGACAGAGGTAGCAAGTTCCAAAGTGTTTGATCTCAGCAAAGACACGGATGTAAGCGTTATAACTTCACTTGAATGTACTATTCTTCCTACACTGGCGTTGACTATTGGAAGAATCAACGTGGGCGAGACTGTCAATGAAGAAACAGTCCCTTGCTTCTTTATCTCCACTGCTGTGGTCTTCTGAGGGGAGGAAGTGTTTGAATGCCATCTGTTACTCTCAGAAAATGTCAGGTGCACGGTTGCTGTGATTTCCAACGCTGGGGTGCTTGTTAGACTCCCTAACCTTGCTAATGTTTTCACAGAGCTTGGTAGTAGCGATGTTGTCTCTTGATTGGTCACTTTTGTAGTAGTCTTTACTTTGAATAAATAGTTGAAGTAGAGAGAAGAAAAAATGCCATTAAACTAAATTTATTGATACATCCTTGAGATTATACAACGGTAGCAATAATTCGTGACACCCAGTCACAAAAGAGATGGGTGTAGGTACATTCATTACTTATTATATGGCCAGCTCCGTGAGCGGGCAAGATGAATCAAATCCTGCGCTGTGATTGGCTACCCGAGCGGGCAAGATGGAGCTATCTTTCCCGTTCGGGACTACCTGCCGTGTCCCGCAAGAAAAATTTCCCCCAAAGCCATACAATAAATCGTTTATCGGCCAAGCTTGTTTGGTCAAGATGGCTTGATATTGGCCTCGTCCTTTTTTTTGCGAGTTTATGGACCTCGACTCCGTCTCGGTCCATAAACACGCAAAAAAAGAACTTGGCCAATATCCTTTCATCTTGACCTCACACTTGGTCAATAACCCATACACAGATAATGGAGAACTCGAGTTGACGCTGTTTGCTTCAACAAGACGCGCTGTCATGACGGACATGCTCTGTAAATTAGAAAGTGGCATTAAGTTCAATTTTTCTCCCAGACTATTTTCCTCAGTTATATTTTTTGCTCTGATGAACTTGGCAAAGATATCAGTTTAGTTCAATGTTAGTGACCGTTGTTTGAAATTCTAAGAAACCATGAGGGCAATGGAAAGGAAAACTGTTTGAATCCTGTTTAGGAGATTTACCCCTAGATTTGCTGATTTTTTGCTAGAAGTGCTCCAACTCCATAACGTGTCAAAAATTGTACCTTAAAGGCACGCATTGGCCACAGTAGGGGTATCGAATGGTCTTTACGAGCATTTGCGAGCATGCGGGCAGCGCGTTTATTTTTGTTCGCACGAGCAGTGATCAAGTTTGTCTTGCGAGCAGCGAGCACTTTTGAAAATGAAGATGGCGGGCAGCGAGCACTTCGTAAATTTTCCGCTAACTGTAATCTTTATCTTAGTCTACCTTTGCGGGTGCCTTTTGTGCCACTTTCAATAAAACGTTAGCAAACCAAGGAAGCATGTTTCAAGAAACATTCATAGGGCGTACATGCTTCCCCAATGTTTCCCAGTTTTTCCATACGGGAATTGAACACATTTTAACGAGAATCCGAGCATGCGAGCAGTTGCAAAAATTTTGCGAGCACGAGCAAGCAAGCACTCGTGTAATTTTTGCGAGCAATTCACTTTTAAATTGAATGGGACCATTCGATACCCCTCACAGTTACAGACCTCTAGTTGAGACTGGATTGTAAGAGCCTACGGTAATTTTACTTGTCTAAAGGAGTTCGCGATAGTATTGCCATAAGGTTTAGTTTACTAGGTAGTTATTGTGGTATTTTTGTAAGTCATACCAAACCCATCAATACCCCTGCAATAAATTAAAGGTCTTATTTATCGTTGCGAAAATTATGAAATTTAAAGGTTATGTATACAGTGTAAGGTACGCAGTGTACGGGAAAAAAAAGCGTAGTCGTATAGCAGATTGCCTCGACTTCGCATTGCTAACAAACACTTACCTGAGGTTCTGCAGACCTGCCCTTGTGCATCGAAACCAACTACAACAGTGCTTGTTAGCGAGCAATTGCTCTTACCTGCTGGGCATTCTTCAGGAGCTGAGAGGAAAAACAAAAAAGACGGCAATTCGAGCAATCCCTTTTTCAATATCTGCGGTGATGGGTTAGCCACTTTGCAAATTACAAATGTACGTGTAGTTGTAGATTGATGTGGATGTAAATCCTATTCACTTTTTCTAGAACTAAAGTGGCCATTAAATTAACGTACAGAGCAAGAAATGACAGCCGTGAAAAACTGATAATATACAAACCTTTTTAAGGTGGCTCAAAACAGTAATATTTCCGTGAGACGCCTGAGATCGAGCGCGCACTTAAGGGCAAGGCCTTACGCTATCACCCGAGGGGTCGCGGGATAGCGCGCGAGATTTAAAGCTTACAAAAATCAAAACAAACATGGCGGCACGAGGCCTACTTCGTAAAACTTTGTTTCCGCCAAGTTTAGTACGCTGTTTGCGTTATCAGTTATTTTTACCTTCGAAAAAATCCATCCGTCAGGCAATTTCAAAGGAAAAAACATCATCTTATACCGCTGTGCTGGAACGTAAACGAAAATTGTGCTGTTGATGTTGCAATCGATCGCGCCGGTTATCAATCTAAAAAACAGCAGGAATAAAACTACTCTTCAGGTTTTCTTCGTTCTTTCTACTTGGCTAGTCTCACCTTCGGGTATTTATGGTACATTTCTTCTTCCGCTTATGCTGCTGACGACAACGGAGAAAAAGAAAACACTATTCGCGTGATTCGCGTTTATTCGCCTGGGAATCGCGGGCTTTACTGATCAGCGGACCGCCTTCACGCGTGCGCAAGGGGTGATCTTGCAAAGTCGAGGTTTTAATTTTCGCGTAGAACGCGCGCGAAAAATACCTTATCCACGAAGCTAATATCTCAAAAACTGATCTGGTGACCCTACGCTTTTAATGCAAAAAATATTCAACAGCAAAAGCGGAATGCATACGCGAAATTTAAAAAAAAACTGTGGAGTGGAATTTCTCCAACCATTTTTTTAAGTTTAGGAAAAATCTACTCCACAGAATTTTATATAATTTTGCCTGTTTCTTCTTCTGTGTGTAATAAAAAGATTTTTTATAAAAAATATGGGGTCACCGGCTTAGTTTTTAAGATAGATACAATTGATGGTAAAAAGTGGGTCGGGTTTGTTGCTAGGCAACAGCAAAGTGCAACATTAATTATGACTTAAACACAATGAAAGGTACAGTGGAGAGTTACCTTAGAAAAATAGCACAGCCTTTCAAAACAGTACAGTTCCAAGCCAGAAACTTCACCTGATTCTCAAAAAAACGAAAACTGTTTTGAGCCCCCTTAAAGTCTGCTGGAAAAGATTTTAACACATATTTTTTCACTCTTATCAAGTCTCTTTTAAAATTAGGTTCCAATCTTTCTCCGTAGCGTTTAAATTGAATTGTATTCTATCCAACCGTCAGTTCGGAGGATGTATTTTTGTAGTTTACGAAAGGCCAAGTCATTAATCAAAGTTTTTTTTTTTTACAACATCATGCATATAACCGCAGTGTGTATATTATTTATGGTAAAGTTTAAATGGCCGCAGGATAAGAGTTTTACGATGCAAATTATACAGTTTGCCGTCAATTTGCTCCTGTCAAAAACTCACCGAGAGCTTTGTAGGTTGCATAGAAACCAGGCCAGTTGTTTTTCTTGTAGGACGAAAACCTCACCCACATTTTCTCCATGAAAGAAACAAACGTAAACAAGCGCTTGCAACCACAAAGTACAGTCACATCATTGGTATAGTTTCCACGATACTCGCTTATTCTGATGCTGTCGTCTCCACAACTCCCTGGTCGGGAATACCGATGGTCTTCAATGCCTAGCCACTGAATTGTGAATTGCACACGGTACCCTGGAGGGGCAATGATTGTCCACAAACAATTTCTGCTTGCGCCATAGTTGTTTGGAAAGTTTGGGCTGCTTACGACACCTGACGGTTCTCTTAGATAGGTGTTGAGGCCACACAAATCTAAATATAAAACAGAACAGACCGTATCAAAAAGTACTCCTCGACTTCGGCAGGAAATTTCATGATTACTTATTATCTCGTGTTAACGCCTTCGGCGTTTATTTCAAACTTGGCTTGGTGATCCGGTATTTTTTTTTGACTCCTGTAGTTTATTCGCGGTCAATGTTTGTAACCCGTGAATGATCTCTATTCTATGTTCGTTTGTTTCTTTGTTTTTGAATATTTAAAGATAATAAAAACCGTCTAGGCGTTCTGCACGTGACGGAATGTCACAAAAAGTGTGCAAATTGCCTCAGATATGAATGATGCAACAGTTTGTTTTCACGTCAAATGTATACAGCTGTTTTGGGAAAGTTTGCCCTACAAAGCGTTGGCGACAATGCCGAAAGGTATTATGGGTGATATTAGATGGTCTTTATGGACAGCGCCAGTTTGCCGCTGTTTTATTGAAGCTCATGGTGTTTCAGTATGATAAAAGGAAAAGTCATGAACACGTACATTTGTGGTTTCTCCTTCATTTGCTCTGAAACGCCGGCAATTTTTCTGTTTAGATGAGAGTATGTAAATATGGTTGTGACGTTTTGGATTCGCGCGTATTTTTGAGAATTATTTTATAAAAGCAATAAAGCACTTTTCCCGTGTTTTCATAGCCTCATCTAAACGCTCGGGGGATTGGGAGAACTCTCGAATTCTCCCAACCCTCCTCGTGTTTAGATGAGGCTATGTAAACACGGAAAAAAAGTGCTCTATGGCTCAAGTAAAAACGGTATAATGACGACCTCTCTCCATACAAGTTTAGAAAACAGTCCTAAGAAAATACGCGCGCTGATTGGTTAAAAATCGTGTTTCTATTAAACAACTAGATTATGAGTTCGAGATTTCTATCGCGTGTTAGCAGAATTCTACTAGTATACTAATGCAAATGCTGTAATTTGATTGGCTGAGCCATTGAACACTATCAGCCATTAGGGTGCAGTGGTTGGAGGTCGTCTAGGGAATGACGACGTTTTGTTCGTTTTTCCAAGGTTTTGGAAAAAAATTTTGATGCAAATGGATAAATGAATTCCTGAAAAGTCTAAACGAAGGACATTTACGGTTTCTTGACTTTTAAAAAAGTTGAAATTATTGAAAAAACTGATGCGCGCGCACATAACTTCAATTTTAAATGAAAATTCAATCCGAGCGATCTTTTTCCGTCACAAAGTTTAATAATACGTCAAGAAATAATTGGAAACGATTTCGATTTCGATTTCTATGAGGTGATAGTTGATTCGGCCTTCGGCATCATCAACTATCACCTCATAGAAATCTCGAACTCATAATCTAATTGTTAAATAGTTGGCGAGGGCGCAGTCCTAGTCAACTATCACGCGATAGAAATCGAGAGCGAATAATCTAATTGTCTTAGTATAAATCTGCTAGTCGCTCAGAACTTTATCTAAATCGTCTTCACAGACACTTTGAAAACGCCAAGAGGCGGCCGTCATTTTGTTAACAAGGGCAAACTGTTACGCTACTCACTATCTATCACAGAATAGATAGTGAGTAGCGTAGCCAATCAGAGTACAGCATTCGTGATAGAACGCTAGTAGATTTATACTAAAACTCGACAGAAACACGGTACATGTTTTCTATTTCTTAAGTAGAAGATCGTGGGATAAACCATCATTTTATCTACTGAAGGGCGTTGAAACTTACTTGACGGATTTTCTCCATTCGAGCAATCAATGTCGTCTGTAAAGAAATAAAAAGGAAACTATGCTTGAGCGCCAAATTTATCACAAACCCGAGGGAAAACAGCAGTGTACTAATGAATGACTAAATAACAGCAAGTTCCCAAACAAACTTGGTGGAAGATATTCAAGTAGATATGGACATAGGGCTTTTGTCTCGTGTGCTGTTTTTGCAGCAGTAATCCGTGTGTACTTTAGATTCCGCTTGATCCTCTGGACTTGCTAAGAAAAACTCTAATTTTATACACGGTGTTGTCCAAGTCAGCCAGAATCCAGGGGATTAATTAAAAAATGTCCATACGCGTGGAGAGGTGTAAAGGCCATTAAATACATCTATAATTGCCTGCATTACCCTTACCACTGGAGAGTAAGGATGGCCCAGTGGTGAGAGCAGTCGCCACCCACCAATGTGTTCCTGGTTCGACACATGTGGGTTGAGTTTGTTGTTGGTTCTCGCCTTGCCCTGAGGGTTTTCGGGTTCTCCGGTTTTCCTCCATCCACAAAAACCAACATTGCCAAATTCGAATTCGATCAGGTCAGAGGACTCGCACGAAAACCAGCTCTATTAGGCTGATGTGGCTTCCTCTCTAAATATAATTTAGAAATGGTATGGTATTTATTTACCAGGGTCAGTTGGCTTGAATGCGATTTGTAGCTTGTCATTCACCGTGAAGACAGATGACACCATTTGGAGAAAAGCAAAATTTCCACTGCTAAAAAGTTTAAGCGAGCCACTTGCACAGGGGCCATACTTCCCAATCAGAGGACTACTGGCTTCAGCACCATCACGGATTATTAAATAGTCATCGATCCCAGTTAGCTTCAGTTCCTTGATCGTGATTTCCAGTCGGAAATTTTCTGGTGCTTGTATTTTCCAGCTACAGGAAGTGTCGCGTGAGCCATCCGGGAATTCAGGTGTTGAGATTTCACCGGGCACCCGCGCGTCAATGACAATGTTTGTATTCGATGGAGAACAAACTGGAACATAACCAAAAAGACGTGTTTCTAGATACATAATAACCATTGTTTAATTGTGAACCCTTACAAAATCTCTCCAGGAAGCCCTTAGAGGGACCTGTTCAAGGATATGTAGCTGCATGATACTGCGAATTAATAAGAGGTTGCGCGAGAATAATGTCCATTCTCGTCCCCAGTGCTACACGTTTTTTGAAATGTCGTTGAAGGTTTCGCAGATCACGTGACCAAACCTAAACGAGGGTCTGGGAACGAGAACGTGACCAGTGAGGGTCCAAAAACAATGTTATTCAAGTTAGCGAGTACATTAAAATAACTTGTTCTTCACAGTTGACTTATCTTTTGTCTTGACATGTTAGTATTGGCGAAGGTTAGCTCACTGAAAACTCCAGAACTGTCTTTGGCGCCATAAAGTGAATTATATCAGTAATTCCGGTACAATTTGCATGAGCATAATAAGTTTGACGCCTGTTGAGTGTTCTGCCTCAGGTCATAATTCAATTGTTTGTGTCCACAGTGATTTTGTTTAGATGTGAATTAATTGAAGGATAAAAGACCCTTCCCAAACTTTTATCTATGAATGCACTGAATTGGTTTATGACATGTGGGTGGATTTAGATCAAAACACACGCCAACGAGATAAAGCGAGTCGCCATTCAGAACAGATAAGCAAAAGTATCTCATGGTAGACAATTCTTAACTGCCTCAAGGTTAATTCAGATAGATATATTAGTCAGAATTAAGAATGCAAAGCATGCTGACAGATTAACACTAACATGCTTTCAAAATTATTGTCTGTTTGGAAGTGTTTGTTCGGTTTTGGGTCTCAAGCATTTCCTCGTTTAAAAAATGAAAACTGCCGGGAATACCTGCCACGCTTTGGCATTTCCAATGTTGTTAGTCTGATGCGATAATGATTTGTGAAGTACATCTGCAAATTTTGAAAGAAGTTCGTCCTTTTGGCGTTTTACAAAACACCAAAAAGACAAGTGTTGCTTTATGTGTTTAAAGGTTAAAGATGTAAAGGAAATTGAAGGTCGACAATCTATGGCTAACTAACACTTCAGCTTGTACTATTAGCGTGAATAAATTTTCCCAATACACACAAGCGTATTTGGTATATCTTAAAATCCATACATACCTTCAATATTTGCTTCTGCTTGGGTTAAAAATGGCATAAAAAGAACACCGACGATGAGAAACTTTAGAAACATTCTCCGCGCGGTCATTTCCCAGACACTCGTGACCAACTACGACACTCCGTTTGATGGCGATGCATCTTTCAGCTGATAACAGCATCCACAAACTCGCTCGCAAAAAACGTTCCGCCTGCGGTTCTGTTCGATCATAAACTCAAAAGCCAAACGTTCTAGAATTTGCTAAGCATGGTTCGCCTGCGTCGAGTTTTCTTTGTCAAGAGACTCCGGGATCGCTGCGACTCAAATGGTCATCACAGAATGT